TATTTACAACAATTCCATGGTCTTAAATCATCACATATATGCATTTATTAAAGCGCCAAATTTATAATTGTAACAAATAGTATTTGAATAAAAAATTCAATCGGGTAAAACACGGGCGTTGCCCGGGTCATTCGGCTAGTATATTATAATATCAACTATATTAATTAAATCAAATACCTAAACACTGATATAATACAATTTTTGCCATCACACACACTTTTTTCCTGTAGTTTATGTGTTACTTCTGTATTGCTATTATATGGCCCTTCTAATATTTATTATTGATGTACTTTCAGTATGAAGGAAATTGCAACCGGTGGAATTCTCTGGCGAAGCCGGGTCATACGTCTAGTATATTGTTGGACACCAGCGCCGCCACTCAAGTATAACACGTGACCGGAAGGATGACGTCGGCACCCCCCCCCCCCTCCAACTGACAGTAAAAGTTTAGCCTAACGACGCTTTTGTTTGTTTACCTTCTACGGAGGATGTAACCTCTTTGTTTCCTCTCTTTCACTTTTTAATCTTTATATAACCTATGCTTTAATAAATTAGTTAGTGCAAGGCTCTTGTCCAAAGTGTAACCAAGTACCTTGTCTACACCCCTACAAGAAAAGATTATGAGACTGATTGGAGCTGCCTGAAGCATTGAACGGTAAGCCTATTTTTTGTGCTCTCCCCCCCCCCCTTCAGTGGACGCCATCTTATAATGGAAGCTAACGAAAATTTACCGAAAATTACCAAGCTAAATGGATTAAACTATTCCTCATGGAGCTTCCAAATTAAGCTCATTCTGATGGACAATGACTTATGGTCAATTATTGACCCAGGCGAAGTCAAACCCGAGGGAGGGGATGTTGGTCTAATCAACAAATTTAATACGAGGCAGAATAAGGCTTTAGCAAAGATATGTCTCTCTATTGGTGAGGAGCAGCTGAACCATATCAGACATCTAAATTCCCCAAAAGAAGTTTGGGATGAATTACAAAGACTTTATGCACCCAGGGATAGCAAACACAGAATTCTCCAACTGCGTCGAAAGTTGTACTCCCAGAAATTCTGTCAACATGTGAACATTAATGCCTATTTGGGAAGCATAAATCTAATAGTGAGTGAACTCACAGGTGTAGGGGATAAAATTGAAGACGGTGATCTAAGCATGCTAATTCTTTGTGGAATGCCCGAGGACTGGGATAATGTTATATCAACAATGTGTAACTTACCAGAGTCAGAGTTCACCAGTGCCAACATCAGACGTAAATTGTTAGCTGAGGCAGAGCGCCGGTATGCTACAACAAATGAAGGGGGGGGGGGGGGGGTACTGTCAGTCAGGAACTCTAACAAGAAACAATTCCCTCGTGAACATCAAGGTTCTAAAACTGTTAGAAAATGTTTCGGATGTGGGAAAACAGGGCATATTGCACGGGACTGTTTCAAACTGAAAATGAATAACGGTAAGCAACAGGAAAAGGGAGCGATACATCAACATCACGAAGCAAAGAACTTGAATGTGATGTATAATGCAGCAGTTGTATCAGAAGAGGATACGTGGGTAATTGACTCAGGTGCCACGCATCATATGACTCCGAACAGAAGGTATTTTTCCACGTTGAATGACGAGAATGTAGGAGAAGTGACCACCATTGATGGTACATCACATTCAAACATAGGAAGAGGTAATGCTCAAGTAGATCTGATCAACAATTCTGGACAACTTAGAAGCATAGTTGCTCAGAATGCAATGTTCGTACCTGGGATCAGGCATGGTGTACTCTCTGTTCTACAAATTTTGGAAAATGGTCATGAGGTTATCTTCGACAAGAAGGGATGTCATATCTACGACAATGATCATAACTTGATGATCAGAGCAGAGAAGAGAGGAAGGCTCTATCTAGTCAGGACTGCTCCGTCCAGATTTCCAGAATCAGGAGAATGTTCAAATTCCATTGCTCAAACCAACAATTTTCGTAAATTCCCACTGAATTTATGGCATCAGAGACTCATGCATATCAACTATGACACCATAGTAGACATGATGAAAAGAGAAGTTGTCATTGGTTTGAACTGTCAGGCTGGAAAACCTGATAAGTGCTCTGATTGTATGATTGGAAAATCGACAAAAAGACCTTTCCTGAATTTGAGATCTACCAAGGAAACTCAGACACTAGCCCTTGTTCACTGTGATCTAATGGGACCGTTCAACATTGAGAGCTGGGGTGGATCAAGATTTGTCTTGACCATCATTGATGACGCACCAAGATATACAAGGGTATATTTCCTTAAAAGGAAGGGCGATACTCTAGAAAAATTCAAGGAATGGATGAAAGAAGCTGAAAATCAGACGGAATTTTCTCTCAAGAGGATCCGTACATATAACGGACTAGAGTTCTGTTCATCTCCTTGGGATATTTTCACGAAGGCCCATGGTATAGTACATGAACGCACCATGGTCTACACACCTGAACGGAATGGTGTCGCCGAACGCATGAATAGGACTTTGCTGAACTTAGTGAGGAGTACTGTGAACAGTTGCAATCTGCCAAACGCCTCTTGGGCAGAGCTCACCAACACAGCAGCATACTTGAGAAATCGTGTTACAAACAGACACAATGAAGATAAAACGCCTTTTGAATTGTGGTTTGGAAAAAAGACCTGCTCTGCAACATCTGAGAGCAATCGGCTGCGAAACCTTTGTTCATGTTCCAAAACAAAGAAGGAATTCGAAGCTTCAGCCAAGAGCCACTAAAGGAATTCTCGTGGGTTATCCTCTACAGGGACGAGGTTGGATAATCTGGATTCCTGAAAAACGCCAAGTGGTGGAATCTAGAAATTGTGTATTCAAAGAAGAAATCCTCTATAAACAGCCCAAAAGAAAAAGGGATACTCTACCATCTGTCCGTTTCACCTCGAAAGAGGCCTCCTTTCAAGAAGAAAGTAATGCAGATCAACCAGTAGACCGAGAAACTGAAGAACTGATTGGAACTACAGGTGGAATAGATCAGCTATCTGAGACTCTCCCAGAGAACCTGAGAAGCCATCCAATGACACTCCGAAGTCATGGAAAGACGGCAGAATCTCCGGAAGAGGATAATAGTGGTGGACAGATAATTGCCACAAGTGCAGAGGACAATAACCCCACTTATGAAGAAGCCATGAACAGCCCTGAGGTAGCTAATTGGATAGAAGCTATTGAAGAAGAAAGGGAATCGCTCGAAAGACATGATGTATGGCAACTGCAGGAATTGCCGAAAGGTATCAAACCTTTAAAATGTAGATGGGTACTAAATGAGAAAATCAATGCAGTGGATGGTACCACTAGATTCAAAGCACGTCTAGTCGCCAAAGGCTTCACTCAACGTAGAGGAATTGACTACAACGAAGTCTATACTCCTGTTTCCAGTTTTGAAACTATAAGGCTATTAACGGCGATAGCAACAGAAAAGGACTGGTTCATTGACCAATTCGACGTGAAGAGTGCTTATCTTCATGGGACACTCAATGAGACTATTTACATGGAACAACCTGAATGCTTCAAGAAACCAGGAGAAGAAAACTTTTTCTGCAAGCTTAAGAAATCAATCTATGGATTAAAACAGAGCGGAAGATGCTGGAATAAATTCTTAAACAAACAACTTCACGAAATCGGATTCCAAAGTAACCCTATTGATCCGAGCATCTACGAAGTTAAACTTGAAGAAGGAAGGATCATTCTCTCAATCTATGTGGATGACATCTTTGCCATTTCAGAGAATCAAGCAGCGAGAAACAAATGCAGAGAACTCTTAAATTCCAGTTTTGAAGTAAAGTATCTAGGACCAATTTCTCATATGCTTGGAGTATCCTTCAAGCAGTCAGAAGATGGAAGTATGACTCTTTCTCAAAGTAACTACATAGAAGAACTGCTTCAACGTTTCATACTACAGGATGCAAAAGGTGTCTCGACTCCAATGGAAACCAATCTTGACCTGAGTGTAAGGAAAAATGGAAATTCCAATGAGCGGTTTCCATACCGTGAACTGATCGGAGGACTGTCATACCTTTCTCAGAGAACAAGGCCCGACATCGCCTACGCAGTCGGGATCCTATCCAGATACTGTGATAACTACACAAGAAAACACTGGGAAGCTGGGAAACGCGTGCTGCGTTATCTGAAGAGCACCAAGGACTTTGGCATAACTTACAGATCCACTGGCAAACCTTTGATTGCCTTTTCGGATGCAAGTTGGGCCTCAGACATTGTAGACCGAAAAGGAGTATCTGGACATCTCATCATTTTAGCTGGAGCACCAATAATTTGGAGAAGCACCAAACAAGCAGTTACCGCTTTGAGTACTATGGAATCGGAATACATTGCACTGTCATCAGCTGTGAAGGACATCACATGGGTACGGAATCTGATGGAACAGCTGAAAATATCAAGTTTGATTTGTGGATAAACAATAGTATTCTGCGACAACCAAGCTGCAATTTCCCATGCGGAAAATTACATCGACAAATCGAAAACTAGACATTTTGCCGTAAAGTACCATTTTGTTCGAGAAAAGATCTCAGAAGAAGCAATCGAACTTTTCTACACTCCGAGTGCTGAGAACCCTGCTGACTTCCTTACCAAGCCTCTTGCTAGAAGCCAGCATGAAAAGTACTGTAGAGCGCTGATGGACTATCGGAATAAACGTCCAGCTGAAGTTATTCCGGGAGGGGATATGTTGGACACCAGCGCCGCCACTAAAGTATAACACGTGACCGGAAGGATGACGTCGGCACCCCCCTCCCCTCCAACTGACAGTAAAAGTTTAGCCTAACGACGCTGTTGTTTGTTTACCTTCTACGGAGGATGTAACCTCTTTGTTTCCTCTCTTTCCCTTTTTAATCTTTATATAACCTATGCTTTAATAAATTAGTTAGTGCAAGGCTCTTGTCCTAAGTGTAACCAAGTACCTTGTCTACACCCCTACAAGATATATAATATAAATGAGTTTTAAAAATTGAAAAAAAAAAAATGCATAGGTCGGGAATCGAATATATAATCGAATATCGCGTGGCAGGCGAGCATTCTACCACTGAACCACCGATGCGTATAAAAAATGGCCATATTTGGGTATTCATTCCATTCCGGATTACTCCGCGTAAAAAAAAAGTTCTTCAAATGAAAAAAAGAAATAGCCAAAAATACTAATCAAAATGTAGCCGAAAAATTTCCTCAGGTTTATAAAAAGCGACATGCAAAATTTGGTACCAATTGGTTCAGTAGTTTTTGAGTTTATCGCGAAACAGACAGACAGAAATTGACTTTTATATATATAGAGATAGAGATATATGAGCGATGTAATAAAGAAGTTTCAATCTCAATATCTCTCTCTCTCTCTCTCTCTCTACCCTACTCTACTCCTAAATATAATTAACATTTATTAAACAATTTTCTTTGGGCAAACATTCTCTCGGGAATTTTAAATGTTTCTGACCTTTTTAACGCTTATATTTTCGTCTATTGTGAAATAAATTTGATTACTATTTTAAGACTGCGACTGATAAATAAAATGAACAATCATTGGTATTATTATATATGATAGAATGATATATATGGTGTACACAAGAATGAACTGAGAAAAAAACTATTCGAACATTTAGAATAGGATAAAAAACAATCTATTTGTGTGTATTGTAACGCGAAAGTCTACCGCAAGAAGCTTTTTTGAACGTCGTTTTAAAAAAAGCCGTGATACACAAATGATTATTTGGAAGAGTAAATTTCATATATAAGAGAAACGTGTAAAACCTTAACTTTTGTACAAAGAAAAACTACTAGAGCATCCCACTGAGTACGCAACTGCCATTGTTTAAACCAACTAAAGCTCTATCTATTGTGGTCTAATAGTGATCTTTTTGTTCAGTATTATTATATAAGTAGATCAGAGAAAGGTGTTCATTTTCTTTTCTTTTCCATCAAAATGATCTCTTGTCAAGCTTGTATTGTTCACAGCCAGAAAACAAATACGTTTGTTCTAAACCAACCATGTGTGCGAGTCTTTTTACATTAGGAATAAATGGTTCACTTTCTCTCTCTTGCCTTTTGTCTCTAAATTGTTATCAAAGTCGTCTTGTCTAACATATTGATATATTTTATATATAAATCAGATTAAAATGTTAGAAATAATTTTTAAAAACTAAACATATTTTTCTAATCCACACATAAAGTCATGTTCAATGAACGAGCCTATCGAAGAAAAAGTCCCTCCCCCCTTCCCCCCATCCTTATTCATTTCAAATAACAAAGTATGTCCAAATAGGGAATTTCTCCGGCCCTAAATATTATAAAACATACGCCACGACAGCAGTTACGAACCAAAGACCACTTGTCAGACACCACCACAGAGAAAAACCGATGAGTGGAGGAAGAAAGAAATCATCCATATATGTTTGCATTCTCGTAGCTCGGTATTGGCGAGGCAGCCGGCTTGTTTTCGAGGAAACTAGGAAAAGAAGACCGATCTACTTCAGTGATTTCAACGCCGGGTTCAACACAAATAACTAAGAAGTTGAGGTCGAAATGAAATGCCTCTTTCAAAACCCATCTCCTTATCCTGGCCGTGGAAGATCTCACGAATCACAACGAATATGCCCTTCCGCCGATCGTCAATCCCCTTGCCGCCAAAGCTAAAGAAACTAAGTGGGGTGACCGATACAGGAAGTAGGTTGCCGACTAAAGTGAAACCCCCCTCTCTCTCTATTGTAACTGCAAATATTAAACGCGCGAAGCTAAGTATTTATAACTATAAATGGACAAAATAATAATGGGGCCTTAGTCGATTCTTGGGCCGATTATTTCCTAAATTCGGAAACTTTTCGCCGATATTTGAAAATTCCATTCTTTGCCGAAAAAAGGACCTGCACTAATAGTCGCCAATAGAAAGCACATCGAAACTTTGAGGTGCTGCAACTTAAAAGTGTAAAGTAAAGAAATCGAAATTATTTTTGTGTGTGTGTGTGTTCTCTCTGAATTAGACTATCACACAATACTTGGTCTGGATTTCTTTCGAGTCACAAATGCAGTTATCGAATGTGGAAGAAGTGAGATACATTTGAATGAATGTTTGAACGTCGGCATAGAGAAAGATCTGCCCATATATGCGCTAAATAAGAGTATTTTGTTCCAGATTACTTAATTTAAAAAAAAGCTATCAACGAAGAGATAGAGAAGATATTCCAAGACGAAACGTTATAATAATAGAAGAAAATAAAGATCTCATTTTAGGAAAAATTAGTCGTACCATCATTCATCATGGTAACTAAAAGGACTTCTCAGAATCAAATAAACCCAGGTGGCATGGTTATAAAATATTTAGGAAATAATTGGAAGTAGTGGAATCTACAGTGTTTACACACACAGCTGAAGATGAGAAAATTAATCAAACGTAAAAAAAAAAGAGGAAAGACGTCAGAAGATTTTATATCTTGTACCCGATAGATTAAACGAAAATTCAAAAACGATAATTGCAGAATGTCTATTAAAGTACTCGGAGATTTTAAATTTTGAGAAAAAACACCATTCACAAAACAAAGTGTTGGAAAACTGGTTACAGAAAGCGGCATACGCTCCGATCCCGATAAAATCGAAAGGATAAAAACTTCCCGATTGCAAAAATCACAACTGAAATAATAAGCTTCATAGGATTGTGCTCTTAATGCAAATTATTTGTGTGAAAGCTATTTTAAATATTTAATTTAAAAGCAATATATTGGATCAAAAATAATATATTTACCAATATGTCAGTTGGCTGAACGCCAACCTTTTTCAAGGTATTATAACATATTTATGTCAACAACAAACTCGGCGCCACATAACTTCAATAGAATTAAATGGTGGTAAATAAATTATTTTTTGATCCAATATATGTCTTTTCAATTAAATATCTATTTATTGATTGCTCTATTTAAAAAAATATGTTTTAAATATATAAAGCAAACCTTTAAACAGCCTCCTGAGAAATGACGTTAAGTTCCTTTGGTCTAAAGAGAGCCAAAAATAGAGATATCTCATTCAAAATAATTAATTCACTTTTAAATACCAATATCCGGTGATTGGCCATTTTAAGGAAGAGACTAAGACACGTGAGTGGATATGGGGTGTCGGAGCAGTTCTGTCTAAACAAGTAGAAAAAAGAGAAAAATCTTTCGTCTATGCACAAGAACTCTTAGCGCCGCAGAAATAAACTTTTCCACGACGTAGAGGGAATGCCTGGCCATTTTCTAGTCAGACCACATTCTTTTGGAAAGGACTTCACAGCCATCTTAGACTATCTGTGATGGCTAGCTAATGTATAGGATTTATCGGGAAGACTAGTCAGGTGGCCTTGCAGCTTCAAGGATTCGACATTTCTATTGTTTATAAGAGAAGAATTGTATAACATATATATAACTATTTATTGATTTAACCTGTTCCCTGTTATTTGGCCAACCAAACAATATTTCTGTTCCACCAGATGGCGCTCTGCCTTCTGAAAAGCACATGTGCTCCTGGTCAGGATATGGCTTTTTTATTTTTAATATCAACACCTGACCTTTTTATTTTTTATTTTTTTCTATTGTTATATATATATATATAGATGGCGCAAGCCATCAGCAACTTTCAGTTGCACGATAAGGAGATGCCTTTTTATTAATTTATGCACCTTATCCCAGTACAATATCACATTTGTACTATTTTTTCACATTGTGTAGCGTTTTCACGCAATTCTGGCCTTAACTACCCGTTTCATGATTTTTCAGGATGTCTGAATGGCCAATTATTTGGTCGTTGAGGTACAGCTTACACCACGCTGATGAGGGCCAACAGCCCGAAACGCGTCCGTGGTTAGCTTTTCTTGATTAATCAAGAATGGGTATTTGGCCATTTCTGGAATAATTAAAATCAACAAGAATAGTTGATATTCATTACGATAGATGGCGCAAGCCATCAGCAACTTTCAGTTGCACGATAAGGAGATGCCTTTTTCTTAATATATATATATATATATATATATATATATATATATATATATATATATATATATATATATATATATATATATATATATTAAAATAAAGGCATGTTTTGGATCAAATATATTTATTAAAAACAAAATTCGATATTTCGATGAAGCCGTTCGCCTATCTTCTAGAAAATCAAATTCCTTGTAAGCAAATCAACCGCGTGATGCACGAGAAGAGTTGTTTGTATAACATATGCTGGTGTGTGACCAAATCATTTGATTTTGAATAAATTATTGTATCTTTAGTAAGGAATTGCTATGAATATTTGACTATTTTTGTTTTAACTGTAGGTATGATTGTGGTATTTCCATCTTCCTATTGATGCTATTTTTGTCTTCTATAGATGACCAGTTCTCCAGAAATAATCTCGTGTGTTTATCCTGTACATTGTTGTATAAAACTATCGTATTATCAAAATCTAGCATGTGCCCTTGCTTAATTGCATGGTCTACAAGTAATGATAAAGGGCTATGGTTTTTGAAGGCGGTCTTGTGCTGATTAAGTCTTTCTATTAAGGTTTTCCCAGTTTCTCCAATGTAGGATGATGTACAGGATTTACATGGGATGCGGTATATGAGATTTGATGTATAGCATAATTGTCTTTATTACCCGATATGAAAAATAAAACAAAAAGCGAGAGGGGTGACGTCCAGAACAAAAATACACTCCAGGAAATTGATTCCAAAGATAAAAGTGGATTCAAAATAATCGACGGTGTCCTTTACTAAAAAAATTACGGTCCTATGGGCAAACCCTGGCATTTATCAGTCTCCAAATAAATGAAAATTGAAAATATCTAGGGAAGCCACGATGCACCAATGGGATTTATTAATACCTATGATCGCATTTGAAGAAAATATTTATGGCACGGCTTGCATAGTGTACTGCATAGTACTGTACTTGCATAGAATACTTCAGATAAATCATCTGGTCAAAGGTTCCGGCAGCTGCTTTGCTCCGGCACTGATCCGGAATTTGTCTGGATACCTTTTTTTTTCTCTCTATAATGGTCCTGGGGCGCTATGGCTGGCGCATTCGTTTTCAA